GAATCTTTTCTAGATTTTATTTTTATTGTAAAGGTGATGTAGAGGGTTACAGTTAGGCTACAGTCAGGTAATGAGTACATTTCTTCCTTCATTTTTCTCCCAGTTTTTTCCCCCTCTAAACCTCCCTCCCTCACAAGTTATACAGTTCATTTTCAACTTAGTATCTAGTGAATATCACCGCTGCACTGGTTCACTCTGTCTCACATTCCTGTGCTTCCCCTTACTCTCCCCCAAACAGATAAACTTACATACAAGACAAAAACTACAAGACATACATAGAAGACAAAAGGTAGAGGTAGAGCCGTGATCTCCAGTTTGAGAATGGGAAATCTTGTAAGGTGTGTAGTCCTACCAGTCTTAACTTTTCTCCTGGTTGTTTTTCTCTGCTTTTGTTTTCATGCTGCATATACTCTTAAGCCCAAGTTACAAGTAGCTCAAGAAAATCAGTATTTGTGCTTACTGACTATATCCTAAGAAAGTTATGCACTTTTCTGTAACCAGGGTAAAGATATGAAGAGTTTAAGTAGTGCTTTGGGATTGTACAAAGGATTATACAGAGGATGGAGAAATATATGTTAAGGACAATAGAAGGGAGGTAGCCCATCTCGATCGGAAGGTGAAACCAACACATCTTACTACACATGTCTAGTATTTTCATCATTGAAGTTCTAAATGTTTCCACTCAATCAGAGCAAAATTTAAATCAGGTGTTCCTATGTGAGCCAAGTCTACTAGATGAACGACAGTGATCTATTTTCCAAAAACTGGTTATAGGAGCACAAGTCCTACTGTATGAAGATGAATTATTTTCCATCAACGACACCAGTTTTCATAAGCATCATATTCATTTTCTTAGCTAAAGAAAGTTAGGGGCTGAAATGGTGGTGGTCTGCTGTAATCCTAGCTACTAAGGAAATGTAGATAGGAAGATCCTTGTCTAAGGCCAGCTCCAGGCATAAATTTCATACTCCTGTCTGAAAAAGAACTAAAGCATAAAGAGGGTAGCACATTCCCATAATCCTAGCTACTCAGGAGGCTGAGATCTAAGGATTGTGATTTGAAGCCAGCCTGGGCAGGGAAGTCCATGAACTACCAGAAAGCCATAAGTGGAGCTGTGGCTCAAAGTGGTAGAGTGCTAGCCCCAAGCAAAAAGCTCAGGGGACAGTGCCCAAACGATAGATCACTTGACTAGAAAGCACAAGGCCTTAGGTTTAAAGAGAAGCAAGAAACTGATTAAATGATATTGTTTAGAAGAAACAAGAAATTAATGATGGTTAGTTTGTAATTTTGAAATGATGGTGATACTAGGAATTGAATTCAGGACCAGGTGCTTGCTAGGCCTATGCTCTATCACTGGAGCCTCTTAGTCCAAACTGAGACCTTAAGCAGCAACTGTGAAAAAACGTATTGAAAGACAAAAGATTTAGGTTAAAATCTTGCACTAGTAAAACCTGTTCCATAAGTTTATTAAAAAATGGACAATAAGCCAGGCAATGTCACTCTTTGCTACTCAGAAGGCTAAGATCTGAGTGAGCATCCAGGCTCCAAGATACCCTAGGCAGAAAAGTCTAGGAGACTCTTATAGCTACTTAACTAGCAAAAAGCTGGAAGTGGAGAGTGGCTCAAGTGGTAAGAGTGTCAGCCTTAAGTGAAAAAACCAAGCAAGAGGCTGGGAAGGTGGCTCAGTGGTAGAGTGCTTGCCTTGCATGCATGAGGCCCTGGGTTTGATTCCTCAGCATCACATAAGCAGAAAAAGCCAGAAGTGGGGCTGTGGCTCAAGTGGTAGAGTGCTAGCCTTGAGCTGAAGAGCTGAGGGACAGTGCCCAGGCCGAGTTCAGGCCCCACAACTGACAGCCACAGCGCCACTTTCCGCTTTTTTCTGCTTATGTGCTGCTGAGGAATCGAACCCAGGGACTCGTACATACAAGGCAAGCACTCTACCACTGAGCCACCTTCCTAGCCCAATTTCTAATCATGTTTTACAAGTTTTGTTTTTTAAATTTAAAGTAAGGAAAGCACATGTGAAGATGTTGGTTGTGTATGGTAAAAATTCTCATAGTATAAAAGATTATTTCAATAAAAGATTGTCACCTGGTGACTTCCCACCCTCATACTCTTATTCCAAACCACCAGTGCCTCATTTTTCTTTATGAAAGCAACTTCCAGTTATGCACACACATATGGATGCATATACAATTATATCTAGTAGTATGTTAGGATCCTTTTGGATTATTTATCCATAATTTACAATCTACTTATCATGGTTGGCAAACAGTATCTTTGCCAACCACTTCTGGTTGGTTGCTTTCTTAGTTGTGGTACTTTGGGACAAACCATCTACTGTTTCTCTTCTCTTGCTGTTTGTCATTTTGTTTCTGCCATACTTGTTGCTGGCTGAGATAGCAGGATGCTCTGGGCTTCTTCTTGAAATAAGTCCCCCCACCCCCCCATGACTAGCTTTCCCATCATCAAACCCTTTGGGATTAATTGCTCTAAACTCTCCAAGAACAAGTATGAAGGTTCTTATAACTGAGTAAAGAACTAACTTCATTGACTTAGTAATATACACATATAAAGGGCACTGGTGGCTCACGCCTGTCATCCCCACTACTCAGGAGGCTGAGATCTGAGGATATCAGTTCAAAGCCAGCCCGGGCAGGAAAGTCCCTGAGACTCTTATCTCCAATGAACCTCCAGAAAAACAGGAGTGGTGCTGTGACTCAAAATGGTAGTGTGGTAGCCTTAAGCAAAAACAGTTCCTAGGCCCTGAGTTCAAGCTCCAAGACTGATCAAAAAAAAAAAAAAGCATATAAAAATCTGGAGCAGCTACTAATTCATTGTAATGAGTACTACTTACCTTTGCAGCCCAGTTTCCTAGCTTAACTATCTCCTATGTTCTCACTTTTCTTACGCTTCCATTGCAACAGATCTCAAGCCCCTGGTGGCCTCATTTCTTCCCTGCAATCCCCATTCCTTTTTTTGTTGGTCGTGGGGCCTGAACTCTGGGCCTGGGCACTGTCCCTCAGCTCTTCAGCTCGAGGCTAGCACTCTACCACTTGAGCCACAGCAACACTTCTGGCTTTTTCTGCTTATGTAGTGCTGAGGAATGGAACCCAGGGCCTCATGCATGCAAGGCAAGCACTGAGCCACCTTCCCAGCCCCCTCTAACGCTTGTCTATTACATTAAGTATTCTTTTAACCCCTGTCCATTCCATTCAGTGGATACTGACAGCAGAAAAAGGATTACTCATGTAACTATCTACATATAGTCATATATATGTATATATGGGTGTGTATTTTATATGGCAATAAGAGGTGAGGAATGGTTCAATGGACAGATTTGATTAAAACCAAGAGTTGAGCCACAGCGCCACTTCCAGCCTTTTCTGCTTATGTGGTGCTGAGGAATCATACCCAGGGCCTCGTGTATGCAAGGCAAGCTCTCTACCACTGAGCCACCTTCCCAGCCCCTCATCCTCCACTTTTAATGGGTGAGCTTGGGTAGTTTTGGTTCTAGATGAAAGGGTACATTCTAAGGGTCAGATAACTGGAAGCCGTAAGAAAAGATTACACAGGCACTCATCTGTCTTCTGACAGGATCATTGTATAAGGTCAAACGTGAAAAATCCTGTGTCTTTATTCAAATACAAGATAAGGCAAACACATACAAGTTTTCTGCTGGCATCAGGCTTTCTTCACATACACAATATCCATTCATACTTCTGTATCCAGTCCTAGCTCCCACAGGGCGCTAGTATGGCTACAAACTCCCTCATCCCCTTCTCTCACTAAATGACCCCTACATCAAGCATATAATCTATCTTCCTTACTGCCACAGCAGTTTGAATTAGTATCACATAATTACAGATGGTCCTGCCAAGTTTCTAGTTTCAAAGATATTGATGTTACTTGCCAATTCTTTAACCTATAGTATTATCTGGGAGATAGACTGGGCTAGCTATAATAAAAACAAAACACATGGCTGATATAATCACCAGGGTCAAAACAACAAATTGCATTTCTCTCTGCCATAGTGGGCCAAAGACATCTGAGGCTAAGCTATCCAAGGCTTTCATCTCACAGATTCACTTTTCCCTGTGAATGTCCATCATATTTTGTCCATGGATGAGCCACAAGTCAGCTGCATGGAGGAAGGGGGAAAATGAGCTGACTGCTTCCTTTTGAAGGGCACCATTTAGAAGTTACACACGCTGCTTCTGCTCACCATTCTACCTACCAAAATTTTCTTAAGCTAAGTGTTTTAAAATCTGAAGGCTTTAATTAAAAAATTAGTTGCAACTGAAGAAGCAGATAAGAAAACTCAGAAGCTGCTAACTCACATGGCAAAGAGATGAACTGTTCTACTCCTACCCTAATCCAAAAATGAGTAGCTACTTAATTCGAAAAAGTATCCCATGAGAAGATTCTGAGCCTAACAAGGATTTAACCGCTACTCATCAGCTCAAAGTTCTTACATAAAAATTAGCCCCATTTCATTCAGCTATCACTGCTTATTTAACTCCTTTTTCTTTTACTATATCTGAGTAAGCATCAGCCGAATTTTTTGTTGTCACAAAAGTGAAAGTTCTACAGATTCAATTAAACTCTCATTGCTCCACCTACAGTATCAAGTACTAAATGAACCCCTCTGTATCTGGTGCACAGTGGGGAAATTAGACAAGTCAAAGTTCAGCATGTGGATTTTAATAAATCTTTCTGGCAAAAGTGTTTCTATAGATATGCAAGTATAAAACAAATATAAAAATGAAGACTAACATTTTTTTAACCCATATTTTTTTCTTTGCCGTTTTTCTTTCTCTCTCTTTCCCTCCCTTCCTTCCATCCTTTCTTCCTTTCCACTCAGGGTCTGGGTACTGTCCCTGAGCCTCTCTGTGCTCAAGGCTAGCACAGTACCACTTGAGCCACAGCACTGCTTTTGGCTTTTTCTGAGTAGTTTATTGGAGATAAGAGTCTCACAGACTTTCCTGCCCAGGCTGGCTTTGAACTTTGACCCTTGGATCTCAGCATCTTGAGTAGTTAGGATTATAGGCATGAGCCACCATCGCCCAACTCCATAAGTATCTCTTAAAACTATGACTAACTTTAACATGATACATATTTCAGAGCTTAAAAATCAGGATTCTCACAGTTTTATATAGTTCATCCTGAAACAAATACTTATTATCCTAATATTGGATATACTCTCTTGACATTTAATTCATCATTCTTACATGTAGGTTTGTCTTAAAATTTTCCTAGGAAAAAATAAGAAAGTATCCAGATTTCCCATCCTTTGTAACACTACTTAGGAATAATAGTTCAATTTTAAATCAAACTGACAAAATGCTAGAGTATTTTTTTCAGAATCTCCTTTTTGAAAAGCATCTTGTTTTATTTGTTTGCTTTAGTGAAAAATGAATATAAATAACAATTCTGTCCAGGAATTTGTGAGTTGAGGTACACCCATACTATTCACAAATTCATACACAAAAGGGTCTGCTCTAAAGGAGAGCAACATTAATAGGCAACCAGAAACCTAGAAGCCAAGTAATTCATCTCTCTCCTAGGCTTCATTAGCACATCTTTCACCTTACACATGCACAGTGACGCATGATGGCTTTCTTTACAGCATAAAATAGATTTCCCTCTCTGACAGGTACATTGATGGCCTATTATTGTAAAAAGTAATTATCAATGTTCCTTAAGAGACGCACTATTTATTCACATTGTTGGTGAGATAATTTTTAGTTGTGTAGGACTATTTCAGACACTGCTGAACACTTAGTATTCCTGGCCCTCTGGTTAAAACCCAGGAGTCCTCAAGCTCACTACAACAACCCCAAAACACTCACACTCTTCCAACTGCCTGTTGATGAGAACCAGAGACCTAGATGATTCAAGATTACCTATGAACTTCAAGACTTCCACAGAAAGTAACTGTTTTCAATATCTTCAGTAACACTGACTGAAGAGTAACACATTTAAAAAAATGTAAATACTATTTTAGAAAGATAAACTGATTAAAAAAAATTCATGGAAGGATTAGATGCAAAAAGTATAATAGTTATTTATCCCCAAATGCACACATACATTTACAAGAAAATGTTCATGTTCTACTGGTCTAACTTATTCATTATTCTTTTAGTATAAAAATATGTACATCTATTACAGTACAACAAAACCACACAGAAGTTCTTGGTAAACTCCCTCACACTGAAGCTCCTGGAAACTGCTGCTGTCTTTGCTCCAAAACTTGCTGATTTAGGAGTTGTTGCTGTTTCTGTAAAAACTGCACCACTTCTGGACTTCTTAGTAATGACTTAAAGAGAAAAATGGAAAAAAAAAAGATACCATTACTCTTATGTGATTACATTTATGTGACAGAATTACTCTGATATGTCCCTATGCAAGATAGAGTATGGTTACAAAAGTCTGAATTGAATTCAGTTTTGTGGGTGATAAATCATACTATAGTCAAGCTGCAAACTATTTTTTGTTGTTGTTGTTGTTGAAAAGGTGATGGATGAGCAGCGGGTTACAGTTATATAAGTTATGTAATGAGTACACTTGTTTTTAATCATTGTTACCCCATCCCTCGTTATCTCCCTGCAAATTAATGATAATATTTTGCTATACAGTATCATAATACTAACACCTACAAACAATAGCTTGAAACCTGGTGTCAATGCTAAGTCTGCACAAAGAAGAAATGCTTTCTACATTCCAGTAAACATACTTTCTTCAAACATATGAGTGTAATGGTCTAAAATGACAGCAAGACAAAAAAAAAGGAGGGTCAGATGTGAAAATAAAAGTTAAATGACTTTCGTACACATATATGAACCAGTACTGAAATTCAAAATCTTCTCATCTAAATCTTCAGGAAGAAGTTAAAATTTGTATTTGTGAGCTGGGTTTTGGTGGCTCATGCCCTGAACTCAAAGCCAGCCCTGAGATTTGAGAATTACAGTTCAAAGCCAGCCCAGGCAGGGAAGTCTTATCTCCAATTATCTTGTTTATCTCCAATTAGCCACCAGGAAATCCGAACTGGCACTGTGGCGCTCAAAGTGGTAGAATGCTAGCCTTGAGTAAAAGCGCTCAGAAACAACACCCAGACCTTGAGTTCAAGCCCCAACACTGACAAAAAAAAGTATTTGTGTGTATATAGGTGTATATGGGTATAAATCTATCACTATCAACATCTGAAATAGGTAGATATAGATACATATAAATAAAACTATATATGAATGAATATATTAAATTGGAGAGACTGGTTGCTCTAAAACACCAATACATTTTTTTCTATATTTAGTATTTTTAAATGGGTATCATCAGATAATAAATATAATAGTCTATGGGTAATGTGTTTTTACAATAATAAAATAGTTGTATAAGTATATAACAAAAATATACTCTAACCCCATTCTTAAAATATTAAAAAAATTGGAAACAGAGCAAGGGAAGAGGGGGACATTGTTAAACAAGAAATGTACTCATTACCTGACTTATGTAACTGTAACTCCTCTGTACATCTCCTTTATAATAACTTCGTAAAAGAGCCAAAGAAGATTAAAAAGAAAATACACCAAAAATAATTGGAAGTGGTATCAATAAATATTGATTTTAAAATTAATAATTCTTAAATGATTATTTAAAGTTATCTAAACTATTAAACAATCAAATTTCATTAAAAATGATTTGTAAAGACTGCCAATGTCCTATTAAGTAAATGCACAATAATTCATTGGTTGTTGTAAGACTACTGTATATTTATTTAGATTGTTTCAAATATTCATTACTTAAGATGAATATATTTCTGCCAGTGTCCATGTTTTTAACTTTATCTATATTTAGGATCTACTTCTGCAGATAGCTTTACATTAATTTCTGGTCAAAAGTGATAACTATCTCTAAAGCTCTATCTACCAGTGTGTACCAGCACAGGAATGCCCATTTCAATGTCACTGATTATAATCACTAAAGAAAGCTTTTCTTACAGTTTACTATTATTTTTACTGATACTGAATACTTTTCTATAGACCTGAACGGTAGTATTTCTGCTTCTACCTTTTGTAATGTATTGAGGCCAAAGTTTTTCCTTATAGAATGATATGAATATATATGTATATGTATGTGTATATGTATATATCCCCCAGTGGGGCTGGAACTCAGGGCCTGGGAGCTGTCCCTAAGCCTCTTTGTGCTCAAGAATAGTGCTCTATCACTTGAGCTACAGTGCCCTTTCCAGCTTTTTCTGAGTAGTTTATTGGAGATTGAGTCTCAGGGACTTTCCTCCCCAGCTGGCTTCAAACTGCACTCCTCAGATTTCAGCCTACTGAGGAGCTAGAACTATGGGTGCAAGCCACTGGAGCCTGGCTCCTTACCACTATCTTTGACTACAGAAATCATTTTTTATATAATTAAGTTCATCTTTTCTTTGTGAATTTGTCTTTTAAACTAAAAATAAATCTCATTCTAGAGAGAGAAATGGTGGGTAAATATAATCACAACTCTCAATGAATATTTGTAAAATGGAACCAGATGGGGTTCGGACAGATGGAGGGAGAGGAATGGAGGAGGTAATATTAAGATGCATTGTACACATAAATGGGTAAGTTTAATCAAAACTTCTCTGTAAAACTACTTAAAGATAATCCTATTCTAGAATTCTGAGATAAAGTCTCAATTTTATTCTGAAAAGGAATTCTAAAGTACTCTTACTAGGAATTTATTCTGGTGTATAAGTGTCAAATTACTATGTAATTATTGATATTTAGTGAACAATCTCTTCTTTCCTGATCGACTTCTGATAACTTTATAATATTGATTGAATATACCGCAGCATTATTCTATGAATATCAGAATTCAACATAAGGAAGTGTGTATGGAAATGGCATCTTGCTCACATATGCAAGGTTCACCAATGAAGAAACAAGAGTTATAGGTGTAACTGCAGTTACAGTCCCAGAGATCATGAATGGATTTGGGATGGTAGACTGTAGTGGTAAAGTTAGACATGATTCAATTCTGGTAGCCACCTAAAAAGTTCCAGAACCTTGAGAATCTAAGTTCCATTTATGACTAATAATTTTCACTAATAGATTTGTAACCAGAAGCCAACACATACCAGTCGTTTCTGATTTAACACTTGTTCTAAAAGAGTAGGTCTTGCAGGACGATCCCCAAAAGATCCTGTTCTTTGTTTTACAATGGAGAGTATATTGTCTGCAGTTTCCTGTGGTAAATGATAAAAAATGCAAGTGAGATTAAGTTAACATTGTAAATATGATAACTCATGGTTATAGGGCTGCAATGAAGTTGTGAACAAGTCTTTCTTCTCTCCCTTCTGCCACATTACTGTGAAACTTTGGGAATGCCCCTACCTAAGTCATAGGGGAGGTGCTGGGAGTTATTTTAGGTAACACTTCTCTCCCAGGGTTTCAACCTGAGTTCTTTAGTCTCTCAAAGGGCCTCACATTGATACTGGGCAAAGGTGGGGATGATGGTGAAGAGTAACTTGTAAGCTATTTTGAATATTAGGAAAAAAGAAAAGAGGAACGAAACCGTCTCCCTGTATATGATCTAGGCCAAAATACAGCATCTGCCCACCTTTGATGAAATATATAAACTCAGAGGCAATGTACACATTGCTAATAAGACATATGGATCAATTTTTTTTGCCAATTCACAACCAGATAGAGGGCCAGTAAAATATTAAAGAAGCAAATGCTAAACAAAACTTTCAGAATTTGGAAGTAGAGGAAGAATATAGTAAACTAGCTGCAAAAGGCCAGTAAGCACTGCTAGCACAGACAAAACAGTTAAGTTATATACTACCCTGAGATATCAAAACCCAAAAAGCTGGGTGCTGGTGGCTCACACAGTAATCCTAGCTACTCAAGAGACTGAGATTTGAGGATTACGGTTCAAAGCCAGCCCAGGCAGACAACTAAACAGCAAAAAGTCAGAAGGAAGTGAAAGGACAAAGTTGAAGACAGCAACAAAGGAGTGATACTGTCCAAAAAGAAATGTACTCATTCCCTGACTTACAAAAACTATAACCCCTCTGTAAATCACCTTTATAATAAGTGTAGCTAATTTTATATTCTATCTACCTATCTATCTGGAAGTGGAAGTTCAGTTCCAGTGATAGAGAGCCAGCCTTGAGCAGAAAAAGCTAAACAAGAGCTCAAGGCCTTACGGTTAAGTCTCAGTACTGGCGCACATTCATGCATGATCCCTGCCCCCTATAATCAGGAACATCTACTATCTAATGTGTATTCCCACTTACCAGATAGAAAAGTACTTAAAACACCTTTTCTGGCCTAGCAAAGTATTATCCTAGTTCATTGCAATAGTCTGCTACATTCAAATAAAATAACCACATCCAAAACAAAAACTGATGGGGGAGGTGGTGGGGATTGAATCTAGGACCATGTATATGCTAAGCATTTACTTCTGCATTGCATCCTGGGCACCCAAATTCTTAATATAAAAATACAACTATACTCTTGCTCTTCTTTTCTAGCTCTCTCTGCTCTCTCTCTGCTCTAGCTCTTTCCTCTCTTTCCCAGCCACGTGGAGTGCCAACCTTGCCTGGTCCCAGCAGGTCTACCCGAATACCACGTGAGTGCTACTGTTCTTAAAAAAAAAATACAACTATAAAATATTTTATCATGAAGCAATGCTTTATAGGAATTTAGCTTCCATGCTATTTAGGCTATTTATTATCTAGGCTGTTTTTCCTCTTGGCCTTTTCTATACCGGCATTTCAATGCACTAAATGATCCCATTTGCTTCTTTTATTATGAAAAGTTAAGCAAAATGTTATTATGAAAGTGTTCTATCCTTAAAAATTTTAGGTCTCAAAATGTAAAGATGCTATTATCCACAAAACACACACAAATTCTTCCTCTTCTTCCCATAAAGTTAAATTTTATGTGTGCAAGGCCTTGGTTGGGGAGTCCCTATATTACCCAAGCCTCAGAAAGTTAATACCACAGAAACCATATAGTGGAATAACCTTGTATAGTGGAAATAATCTTGTATAGTAGAAATAACCTTGAGTCATATGGCCCAAGCTTGTAAAATGTTGAGATTCCCTTAAAAAAAACAAAAAAACTTTCAACACTTCTTGTCCTATGACACAGACTTTTGAGGCGTTGTTTTGTTTTGAATAAACTACTGTGCTTTTCACCTGAGAATCCTAGTTACTTCAGAACTAAGCAAACCAACCAGCATTGAATTTTACAATTTACTGTGCTATATGTCATTTTTGTAACTGTGTAAGGATGTTTAGACAATTCTGAATGTATTATGTCTTTTTTTGAGATTTTGACTGTGTGAAAGTTCATTATCCTAACATTCAATTTGTGCAACGTTGTGTTCTTTGCACAATTATGTTAGCACTTAAAAATGTTGACTTTCCTTAATAAATGATGTCCTTTTTGTACATCTTCATTTGGTAAAGATAAAATAAGATCCCAGCCCTTTGGGTGACTCCATAGGTGGTGTTGATGCACCTCAGTTTTTCTCCTCACCCAATTTTAGGGTTTGAATCCAAGTCCTTTCCCATGCTAGATAAATACTCTTATCACTGAACTACATCCTCAGCCTCTTTTCTGTTCTTTGGTTGTTGGTTCTAGGGATTGAATCAGGACCTTGCTCATATTAGGAAAGCATTCTACATCCAGCTTGGTTTCTGATTGAGCTCCCCTATATACTCAAGATCATTTTACTGTATTTCAGATAACCACAATTAGAAAACTGAGTGTATACAATTACCAACCATATAAATCTATAAATTTTTTCATCTACTTTATCAACTCATCTGGTCAAAACTATTATGCTTGTGTAATTGTTGTTGGTATACCTGTGTTTAAGCTTACAGAGTACTTGTATGATTGCTTATTTTACCACCTAAGGTGACCTATAAAATATTCAAAGAAATGTATCAAAATACGTAGCATATTACAGAATTATATTTTGGTCTTTTAGGGTTTCAACATTTGGGATTATGGTCCAAACCTAAACAATAATAATTTAAAAAACCCTAAACACGCCAGACATTGACCAAAAAAAAAAAAAAACCAGAATAAAAGTGAAAGAGAAGTCAACCAGTACCCTAGTGAATATAGTTAAACACAGTATGTTGGTGACTGTAGATTTCAGATATATTTAGGCTAGTACATTTATAAATATATACAATATCTAAGACTAAGCAATGGGTTAGCTGTTCAAGCTTAGCCTAAAACTTTTAGAAAACATTCTAGGACAGCTTTCACTTTTAAACATTAACTTCTGGATCACTACTATCAAAATTCAATTTTTTTTTCTGGCACTGAGTGATTATATTCTTTTATTAAAGTGAAAACACACAGGATGCAATTTGTGTAGCAATCTCGAAGTACACTGCTAATAATGACAACAGTAATGGCTAAGGTTTACTGACTTTACTATCTGCTGGACACCAAGCAAATACTTAACTTAGGGAATATCTCACATTCTCACAGCAACCCTAAGCACCAAGCATTATTTTAATACCAACCTTGGAGTCAGTTGACTTGATAGAGGTCAATAGCATGTTCAAAGCCACAAAACCAGCAAATAATAGAATGGAGATTTGCTGCCAGAATTCCAACTCCAGAGAACTAGAGCATCTTCAACACAGTTTAACTCAAGACACTCAAAAGTTTTCTGAGACACCTCATGGTTAATCATTCTTCCCCCCCCGGGGCTACTAAACACAGGCACAAAACAAGGTATCAAAGCAGTATTGTACTAAAGTACTTAAGTTGAGGAGGCACTAGAGTACCCCTAGAGTACTATTCTAAGTACCAGAGAGTACAAAGCACTCGGTATTCAAAGCACTATAGAGTACTAGAAATAGGGATACTGAGAACAGGCTACTCTCTCCAAAGCACCGATTTCATCTAGGTCCATAGTCCCTTTGCCAACTCTACCTAGGGTGAATCACAGCCATCACTTATTAAATGTCCTTTCAGCCCGATCACAGTTGTTTGACATGACTGCTCGGCGGATGTGTTTCAGGATGACACTCATTCATTTATCCCAAGGACCCACAGGAGAATGGAGGCTTGGCGTAGGGTTCCCATTAACTTCTCGGGGAGGAAGACACCCCTCCCGCCCCCCCCCCCCCCCCCCCCCGCCACTAGCTCAGCGAGGCATCCCTCCCCCCTCTGAGAGCACAGGTGCAGGTCCTGGAAATGGCGTTTGGGGGAGGGGCGAGGGAGGAGGAGAGGTCAGCGACAGTGGGGGGTTCCTCCCTCCCCCGGCTCCCCAGCGGGGCGCGGGTACCTCCACTTTGACGCTGCCCGCGCCGCCGGCCGAGGCAGCCCCGCCGCCGCAGTTCAGGGCCTGGTCGCTCTTCTTCTTCTTGTACTTGTCCTTGTACATCTTGTTGCGGTGCTTCTTGCACATCCACGGCTTGCGCTGCTTGGCCACCTGGCTGGTCGTCTCGCGGCAGCCCTCGTAGGTGCAGGTCTTGCTGGCGCCGCCGCCCCGCCGCCGGCCGCCGCCGCCCTCGCCCCCCGAGGGGGCGTCCTCGTCCTCCAGGTCCTCCGGGCTGGCGGTACTTTCGCCTCCTCCGGGGGGGTCGGACGTGTCCAGCAGGTCCGCGTCGTCCTCCGCCGCCTCCTCCTCCGCCTCGCCCGCC